TTTAGATCTTGGGTAAGACAAGACCTAATCACACACACGCCGTTCTATTCATTTTATTCAAACCTTTTCATCCATGTTGTCCGCGTTTCCCGTCCAACTCCAATGTATCTTCCAAAAATTTGCGCATTTAGCCGCATTCCATGACTTCACATCTCCAAAGTCCAAAATTATTTGTGCCGTTGAACTTTTCCACATCTATTTTCATAGAATGTATATTCAAACTTTGACGGCCCTCACACTAGAAGAAACCCTCCCCATGTTTATCCTTTCCGGCCATAATCTCAAGCACCAATAAACAATTTGCGCGGCAACAAACAAGAAAATAGATCCAACTTGAAAAAGATAGAAACTTTACCACAAAGATCCCACCTTTATCACCAATCGAAGCTCTAGATGAACTTCCCAACTGATCTATACCTCCAAAAAGCCCAAGCGTTGCCCGGAGCTCTGATACCACTTGTTGTGCCTCGAGAATCCAAACCAATCACCAAGAAAAGATAAACCAACACACCAAAACAATAGCACAAACAATCAAACACTAGTTTTACGTGGTTCGGCGAGATACCTACGTCCACGGGGCAAGGAGGGGGGAGTTTTCACTATTAGAAATCAAGAGGAACAAACTAGGGTTACAATCACTCACCAAAAACCCACAACAACTCACTCTTGATCTCTCCAAATGCTCCTAGAATAGAAACCCAAAGAAAACCCTCTCAAATAACTCAAAACTCCTGCCTTTCAACCCTAGAAAACACACATTGGGTATTTATACCAAAGCCAAACGAAACGGGTCTGAAAACAGAACCCAGACCCGAACCAGAGTCGCGGTCGACCGCAGCGCCATGTGCGGTCGACCGCGAAAAGTCCAGAGGCTCACCCAGCTCTCTGGACAAATGCCGGTCGACCACCGCTCCATGTCCGGCAAATACATCTGCGTGCACATTGCGGTCGACCGCAGCTCCACATCCGGTCGACCGCCAGACGCCCAAAAGCACTCTTCGACTTTTTCCAGTGATCAACTCCATACACTCGCCGAATCTACAATTCTCCACCTCGAATCTACAGAAGTTACCGCTTACCGCCCGGAAAGTTTGTTGTTTCAGAACTAGGGGTGTCAAACTGTATCCGTATCCGAGGAAATATCTGTAACCGTATCCGTTAGGATACGAATATAGTTACTCAAATCTATAACCGATAGGATATGGTTACGGATATGGTTTTGTAGTGAAATATCTGTATCCGTATCCGAAAATATCCGAATACATATTGGTCATACTCTTACGATAGTTTCGATTCTTAGATTATGGATTTGTGGTTAATTTTGATGATCAAGATGTCTAATCTTAGCTTTTCAATCATAATGAACATATTAACGAACTCTTTTTGTATCACATGACTATATTTTTCTGAATACTATCTAGTTTTCTCATATCTTTTTTGTATCCGCATGTATATCCGTTTATATATCCGGATTTATATCCATAATCGTATCTGATTTTGGCGGATATGGATATGAATTTTTCTTACCGACGTATATCTGTATCCGTATCCGAGATGAGTAAACGGATATGAATATGATAAGTGTCATATCCGAGCCGTATCCGCTCCGTTAACACCCATAGAACTGTGCCTGCGGTTACCCAACCAAAAGATACCTTGTTACATTCGAAAACTGTTGAAATAGTAGGAATTTGTAGCAAAATATATTTTTAAGGTTTTTTAAGTAAGATATATTTACTTTATATTTTCGTATAAATACTTTCTTTAATCGGCTATAAGATTTTTGTCTAGGTCTATATGAGTCTCTTATTTCATTTTAGCCCTGTTATCAAATGCATTTTCTCGGTTTTTCCCTATTTTGAGCAAAAATAATAAACTAGTATTAAACTAGGAACCTGCCATTATACATTACATGCTCAAATAGTGGGTCAGGTGATCACATTTAGTGTTTTTTAAAAAATACAAAAGTTAATCAGTAAACTTACATGAATCCTTCTTTCATTGTTTAATTGAAATAACAATTATTTTTTTTCTAAATGGATTTTCGCAAATAACTTTTCAATCTCGATAATCTTTCTTCTCTTTTTAAAATGGTGAAAACATTCCGATCAAACCCAAACAAAAGGCTAAATAGCACTTAGATACCCTGTTGTTTCAACTACTTTACATTAAAGTACCCTAAATTGTTTTAAAATGGTAAGTTACCACCTTATATTAGCAAAACATGACAATGTTCCTCGTAGAGTCCCATGTGAGTTTCGCATGCCAAGTTTAGTACATATTTAGCCCTATTGTTCGCCGAAATTACAACATAATGCATTCCGAATTTATTTTTCACCTTCAAATCCATTTTCACCTAGAATTTCATCTTCTTCCCGTTTACCGTAAAAAACGTCCTCTCTTTTCAATTTCTACTCATAAGGTTGTTCGATTGTGGCTAAAAAGACAGGGAAATCTATTATAGGAAACAAATTTTCTATAATAAGTCTATTTTTCTTTGTTTGGTCTTGTTTCTTAAAACTAAGAAAAGAGATTGAATGAGATGAGTTCACCATGTTATTAGATGAGGTGACTTATTTTCAAAGAAACTCATATCATAACTTTGTTTTAGAAACGAGGTAGAAATGAACTTTTGGTGATTTCCTTCCCCTGTTTCCTTTTCTTTGATTCTAGGAAGTCGACCAAACAGGCCAAATTATAGCAACTTCATCTCCTTTCATTTCTTCTCTGCAAAACCCTCATTATTCTCTTTACTTCATCTTCTCCCCCTTTCTACTACATAAAATAATAATAAAATAGTTTTTTAGGAGCATAATCAAAATTGAAATTTGTATCGAAATAATAAACCCCAATCAGTTATGTGTTGAGTATCGACGTCGCTGTTTGGCTCAGAAGCCTGCTTAATCAGTTCGATCTTCTTCTCCAGTGCACCACCGAGAACACAAAAGGAAGATCGCTGCTGGTCTCCTTCTCAATTACTCACAAAGAGGAAAGGGGAATCGCACAAAGCGATGGACAGGAAGAGAGGATCTCACGAAGCTAGGGCACAAAGCTCAGGAGTTTTCTTCTCTCTTCTCTCTTCCTCCTCTGAGCTACTACCAACCATTCTCCTTAAATAGAGAAGGGGGCAGCCGACACGGGAGGATGGGCTAGAGCATCGAAAGGTAGAGCCGACCTACAGGGGATGGGAGATGGGACTCAAAGCGGCAGCGACGCAGGACACAGGGATGGAGAAGGGGCAGAAAGACTTAGGGTCAGAGAACCATCGGGTAGGAAACATAGGATAAATCAGTGGGGAGCTGGGCCACAAGGTAACGGGGCAGATATTGGGCCAACAAAATAGCAACATTATGAACCCAGCATAAATTCAATCAACCGAACTGAGTAGAAAACTAAATGAAGACATAATTCCCATGAGCAGAACAACATTAAAACAGGTCACAAACCCATCAAGAACTAAACATTTATTCCCAATTGCACACGATGGGCCCATCATTTGAGCAGCAATAATCTCAAGTGAAATTGAAAAATACATTAAAAAAAACCTTCCACGTTTTCAAGCTTTACAAAGCCATTTTTGGACTTAATTGAGAATGAATTATCTGATTGGAGGTGATGATCTAAGCTTTCCAATACTTTTTATGAGTTGCCCAATATCTTCAAACCATTTGTTTTTTGCTTCAGTCATCGATGCCAGTCTCCAAATGCTAAATTATGGCTTTGCTGATGTTGGGAAAGAAAGAGAGAAATAGTGAAATAAGTTTTTTTTTCCTTTAAGTAGAGATAAATTTATTTCAGGGAGGGTAAATTTGTCTTTACAGAAAAAATTTTACTCCGTTTATCAGATTATAATAGAGAACAACTTAGGATACATAAGTGCTATGGAAAATAACTTGAGTACAAAAGTGTAATGTAGGTGAAACTAAAATATATTTTAAGTGTTATTTAGCCAAAAAAAATGTCCATCTTTTTCTCTCTTAAGTGGTATTTAAGTGCTATAAAAGGTATTCCATTAATTCATCAATTCTGTCTTAAATTTGCATGTCATGAAAAAACAATAAACACAAAAATTTTTGAAAAACAATTTGTTTTTGTATTATGTAGTTACAATTTTTTAATACAAAATTAATCTCCTAATGCATAATTTAAGACTCTCAAAATGTCCAATTTTCAAAGAGTTTATACAAATATATAACAAAGGCATGGATTCAACCATTCATAAGGATAGTCTAATTCAAAATTCACGAGATTTTTTTAAAACTATTAAAAACTAACTATGTTTGAGATTTATTTTTTAAAAATCGACCTATTTGAGATTTATTTAGCATTTTCGACCTAGTTTCAGCTAGCTGGTTGAAACTGGGTTGAAAACGCTAAATAAGTTACGAAAACTTCTTGGGATTTAAAGTCCTATGAAGTCTCGCGTGAAGTTTAGTGCTTAATTAATCACGTGATTCTAATTTAAGTGTTACTTAATTAAGCACTAAACTTCACGTAATTTTAAATCTCATGAAGTTTTCTTAACTTATTTAGCATTTCCGACCCTGTTTCAGCTAGTTGGCTGAAACTAGATTGAAAATGCTAAATAAAAGATAAATAAGTTGATTTTAAAAAACAAAGTTCCCGATAGGTTGGTTTTGAAAACTTTTCCACTAAATTTTCATTTGATGCGTGAATAAACCATACAATTAAAGTTGTTACCATAGCTAAAATATTCCAAATGCAAAAATTAGGAAGAATTATCCTCAGAAAGATAAAGGTGCCCGTGAGTAAACACACGGAGTTTTTGGAAGCGGGACCCGCATGGAAAAAAATTAAAACGCCAGCTGTATAGTAACCTTTGGCCGATCGTTCGGACAACAGGATTGGCTCCTACGATTAAATCATTAATCATCAGATATTTTCTACAGGGACCGGAACCAAATTAAACACGAAAGAAACGACCGTTCAGAATATTGGAAAATTTCGTTAAAACCCAAGTCGGTAGCTTAATTATTACTCAAGCCTTTTCGCTCTCTCCTACTTCATAGTTCTTCCCCCATTAGAGAGCGAGAGATTCCTACCCCTCTTTGGTCCTCTCTGATCTGGCACTTGCCTTTCTCTTTCTCTTTCTCTTTCTCTTTAGAGAGAGAGAGAGAGAGAGATTGACCAGGTAATTTGCTTTGTCGTCTCTGCTAGATTTCTGGATTTTATCCCTTTTTTTCTGTACTAGATCTTTTCTCTGTTACGTCGTGATGAAAAAATTCGCTGCATTTGTTTTTAAGTCCACTGCCTTAACGACAGATCTTAGCAAAAGTTTTACTCTTTTTTGGAAATCAGGAACTGGGTCTTGTTGATTTGCGCTTGTCTGTTCAGGTTTTTTTTTAAAAAAGATTCAATTTTGATGATTGATATTTGTTTTTGCTTTCTTGGATTTGTTTTAGAGCGGAAAAGTTTGAATTTTGATGGGGCCATCAGAGTTCTAGATCTGAGCTTCAGTGGCCTTGTAATCTTATTGCAGCTTTTTCTAAATCCATCCAAGATCTGGAGGAGTAAATGCTGTAGGGGACAGAGAAGAAAATGGGAAAGAAAGCAAAATGGTTTGGTGCGGTGAAGAAGGTATTTAGCCCTGAATCAAAAGAGAAGAAATCCAAAGAGAAGAAAGCAGAGGTTAATATAGTATCCTTTCTACATCTCATTACCTTATTCAAAGGCTTAAATCAACTGGGTACTGATCAAATTCTCGCCTTGGGCGTTTATATTTCCAGAACAACCACAAAACTAACAAATTGAGTGGCGTTGGCAAATACAAAGACTCAGATCCTTCATCTTCAGAGTCATATGAGACCAATTGTGCTCAGAACTCAGCGCCGCCGCCGCCTCCTCAGGCTCGGGCTGTAGGTGTTAAATTAGCAGAGGTGGAGACTGAGCAGAGTAGGCATGCTTACTCTGTGGCAATGGCTTCTTCAGCTGCTTCAGTGCCTGCTGTTTCCTCTGCTCAGGCCGCCAAAGCCTCTGCAGCAGTGAGGTTTGGCGGTAAATCGAAAGAGGAGATTGCTGCAATCAGGATCCAGACTGCCTTCAGAGGATACCTGGTATATAAAATATTGCATGCTTTATCTTTAGATCCTGTTGTCTCATATATATAATATGTTGCTTTATCTGCATTCAATGTGCAAAAACACGATCAGTTGCTTGGTATTCAAATTTCATCTTGGTTGTCCATTTTGAAATTTATCTTTTATAAAATGGTTGTGTGTAAAAAATGATTGTGTTGAATAAGAAGGTATGGTTGTTGTATCAACAAGTATTGATGAGTAAGTTTGAAAGACCGAAATCTGGCATCCTGTAACGCTTAGTCTTTGCTCCTGTCTCATGGTTCCTGCGATTTCCTTGGATATATAATAAAGTTTGCTACAATGCTCTCTTCTTTAAATCCAGCTTGTAGCTCTTATCTTTCCTGGTTCTTCATTCTGAAGATTCAAGTAATTTACTCAGGATATGTATTGTCATTAAACTCTTTGTAGAACAATAATACTATACTTGGTACCTATGAAGCACGGACACGCATAACATGAAGCCGTGTCGTGTCGTGTCCGTGTCGGACACACGTGTCGAACACACGTATCCTATGTATTTTTTAGGATTTGCCTCGTGTCGGATGGCCGTGTCGGATCCGTGTTCGTGCTACATAGCTTGGTACAGCCTGATGCTTGAATTTTTCTGTGTTTCCTTGGTGCCTCCACTTACAGAAACGTAACATATGCAAATGTTTTGCTTTCTCTTCGGACAACAGTTGATTCTTAGAAGTTAAAACAATGAGCATGGAGATATGGTTGATTTTCTTATTTCATGGTTACTATTGATGGCAACATTTAACACTTGTATTTCATGGTTAATTTTTGATGGTAACATCTGGATATTTTTGTCCTTATTATCATGTCTACATGGTCACTTTTATTTCATGGTTAATTTTGATTGTAACATCTGGATATTTTTGTCCTTATTATCATGTCTACATGGTCTTTTATTTTGCTTACTTCCCCCTCTTTCAAGGCAAGGAGAGCTCTGAGGGCATTAAGAGGCCTAGTTCGACTGAAGTCACTGATCCATGGCAATGCTTGCAAGCGTCAAGCCACAACCACATTACGCTGCATGCAAACACTGGCCAGAGTTCAGTCTCAGATCCGTTCGAGGAGGATCAGGATGTCAGAGGAGAACCAGGCTCTGCAGCGACAGCTTCTGCTGAAACGTGAAAAAGAACTGGAGAGTTTGAGGGTATGTGTGTTATCCATCATAATTTATGCAGAAACATTTCGGGTCATTTTATTTCACAATCCTTCTCTTTAGGTCTACTATAGTGTAATTTCTCATTAACGTTTCTAGTTAAACACGAAATTCATGGGGAGCATTAAAGCAATTCATACTGATGATATGGAGTAGTAAAGCAATTCATACAGATATATTAACCTTATCTCTGAAGAGATGCACAGATACTCGTGTTTCCACAAGAATAGAAATTATTAGATAACTAGTAATTACACTGATGATACGTCCTGTGTAGTTAGTTGAACAAGTGGAGATGATATAATAATTGAGATATTAGCCTACAAACTAGCACGTAAAAGCTGCAGTGCTCGGTGCTGGTTTTGAAAACATCGATACAGAGATTAAGGTAGACATTTAACTCGAAAACGGACCCCTTATTAGCAAACTTCTCAATTTTGGAGTAAACTAAGGTCCTTAATAATATATTGTAATGAGTAAAATTAATAGATTATTGGACAGAGTTGTAGGAAAACTTGATGAGAAATGACCTTGGTTGTTCAGAGAATAATCAAGTATACATACCGTCTCTAGTTGTAGGAAAACTTGATGAGAAATGACCTTGGTTGTTCAGAGAATAATCAAGTATACATACCGTCTCTAGGAGGGGCTTTTATAATCAAGTATACATACCGTCTCTAGGAGGGGCTTTTACGATTGTATTAAAAAGAGAAAGACATGAAGCCAATTAAAATACATGAAATGATATATTCCAAGGGTCATTGAGTGTCTGTATAACTAGGAGATCTTGTCCTAATAATTCTCATAGAATGATTAAAAATAGACCTGCTTTCTCAATCCTTCTTTCATAGTAAAAATTTAAGTTCACCTCAATACTTAATTACAGTTTTAAATGTGTTCCATATAATTTTTAATCACTTGACAAAAGTGACTTTACCTTTTCTTTTTTGAGGGCCATCCAGCTCATAGGTATTATATCAAATTATTATGTGACTGAATTTGACAGTTTTCTATATAGTAAGCTTTGCTAGGAAGAATGATGCAGTTATTAATTTGGATTTTTTTTCCCCCTATTGTTAAATCCAATACCTTAAACCTCAGTTAACTGCTTTAATAATAGCTTTGATAGCTATTTCTTAAATTGTTTCCATATACTCTATTCTTTCTCTAATTAGCTGCCTTCAGGGCCTTTCTTCCCTTTGAAGGTGAAGGAAGTGTCATTGATGTCTTCACTTTTAAAACTGCAGATATGGGTAGAAACATCATTTTCTGCCCACTACAGGACGTGTTTGTTTCAAAAAGCACTGCTTAATAATTGGTACTAAGTTCAATATAAAAAAATTATTGAGAAGCAATTTTCAAATATATGAGATAAAAATGCCAGTAAGAAAAACTCCGTAGTATATGGTGATTTTTGCAATGTAGATTTGCAATTAGTTTGTGATGGTAAAGTGAGGTTATATGTCCTCATTATGATATGTTTTCTAAAGCTGAACTTGACTTGTCGTTACCAGTTATTTTGTTAGAATTAACCGACAAGCTGAACATTGGTGAGTTACATTGGTTTCTTTCAATAATTGATGTAAAATGAGGTTATCTTCTCATATTTTATATAGTTATACACTTATACATGTAAGCTGGTGAACATGCTAAGCATGTACACGTGCATACTAGTGAATCATTTTACTGCACACATAGGCTTGCATGCTTGGATTCTGTTGAAATCCTTGATTCTTTCTGCATTTTTTTTCTTGTCAATAGTTGTTCACTTGTTCCTTCAGAACGCTTATCATATTGTAGCTTAGTAACAATCTTTAATCTACCGAACTTTGTTAGATGGGAGGTGAGTGGGATGATAGTCTACAATCCAAGGAACAAATCGAAGCAAGCCTTCAGAGCAAACAAGAGGCTGCCGTAAGAAGAGAAAGAGCTCTAGCCTATGCATTCACCCATCAGGTACAAAATCTTATTATCTGCTCCTCCCTATAATTCCTATCACTACACTAGTTCTCGATGTACTTGCAATTGTGATGCTTCAGGGGAGAAACTCTTCAAGATCAGCAAACCCGATGTTCATGGATCCTAACAACCCACAGTGGGGTTGGAGCTGGTTAGAACGCTGGATGGCAGCGAGGCCATGGGAGAGCCGAAGCACAACGGACAAGGACCTTAATAGTGATCGTGCCTCTGTAAAAAGCTCAGCTCTCAGTGTCAACGGTGGAGAGATAACAAAAGCCTATGCTCGCCGTAACTCCCCCTCAACTCCTAAATCCAAGCCACCAACTTCACTTGTGAAGATGAACTCTGCAAGCCCTAAAATGAGCTGGGCCCCACCAGATGAGGATACGAGGAGTATGCTCAGTTTGAAGTCTGAGAAGCCGAGAAGGCACAGTATTGCGGGTTCATCTGCCGGGGATGATGAGAGCTTTGCAAGCTCTCCTGCTGTGCCTAGTTATATGGCACCAACACAGTCAGCTAGGGCTAGGTCTCGTTTTTCGAGCCCATCGAATGATGTGGTCATCGAAGGACTTGATAAGGTTTCTGTTGGTTCGGTGAAGAAGAAGCTATCTTTTCCTACTGGTTCAGGAGTTCCAAGAAGGCACTCTGGGCCTCCTAAGGTTGATATGTCAACGATCAAGGATGTAGCTGTTCAATCAGAGAGTAATGGAGGAAGCAGGTAAAAAAAAAAAGGTGAAATTGGTCAAAGAGTTTATTTTGAAAGCAAATTTATGTTGTAATTTAATTTGTTTGGAGCAAGATGATCATGGATGATAGCTTTAGTTCGCAGAGGATTGGTTTGTTGGTGTGATTTGTTTCTTCTTTGTTTAATGTCCTCCGCCATCCCTTAAATTTGTAATTTGGGTACATATGAGAAGTGGTTTATGTTAAAGTGAGAGATGCGGGTAATTATTATATTATAAATTATAAATGTAAAATGAATATATATATATATATACTTTCTGTTGTTGTGAAGGAAACTATGGCCCGTGGCCTGGTTAAATCTAATGTGACGTCCTTCTATCCTACATACTAGATTCTGTTCCTTTGTTTTGCTCTATTATGTTTGTTCTATATCTGCATATATGCAGATTTAGCTTTCCTTGCTTTGAGGTGCTTGAAATAGGTTACCGTTCAAAATTCTACTGTTCACAATAGCAGTTTCCTTTTAAGAACACTATGAATGATGGCATATCTGATATTTTCTAAAAAAAATACCCAAAATAGAATTATGAAAGGCCATGATCTGGATAAGAAAATCTATTCATCACCAATGTTTTCACTATGTATAGACTGAGGGTGAACAAGGTGTTGGAGAAGCATGAAAAAAAAGGTGATAAGAAACAATAATTCTCGGCCTAAAATAACTTGAAAGCATTTGTTCAACAAAAGAATGTACAAAAACCAGAATGCTGAGCGAGCCTCCTGTTAGCAGTCACAAGCGTAACTGGTACAATCTTTCCGCAGGCATCATTAATTGAATATTAACCTCAAATATGTACCTCCTTCGAGGTTGTAGCATCATCCTAGAAAGAGCATATTTTCTCCATATTATCTTTGCTCAGGTGACGAGCTCGAGGTTATTGGACATACGTCATTGAACTCACAGAAACGACATTTCCAACTTTCAGCCTCTGAAACATAGGTAGCTTCCTTTCCTCCAGACCAGAACTTCAAGATTTCTTCCATCTGATCCTTTAACCAGCAAACATCATACCGAAACCAATGTTCTTCTAGTAGCGAACAGTCTGATTGCAATTCATATCTTCAACCAAGAGAACAAAGGAAGACGGTGCTAAGTTAAGTCACAATTATCACTTAGACACACTATATTAGCATCAACTTTAAAATGATTCATAGTCTGATTGCATTAGTTTCTTGTCCTACCTTAAAAGAAGCTGGTCAGTAGATGGACACAAGAAGGAGCAGCTATCGGTAAAGCCTGTCACCACATCTTCCAATGTCTGGAAAACACAAATTGTAGGCTAAGTTGCAGAGTAAAAGACAGGCTTTAACTTGTTCATGTACTGAATAATATCTCAGCATGTATGGACCGACATCTGCATTTTACTTTTCATTATCTTCTTTGTGTTTGTTGGATTGGTAAACTTAATGCACGGGGATCATTATTACTCCCTGGGACATAAAAATTCTTCAGGAATCACATTTTTTAAGTATATGAATGATTCAAATATGCATTGCTCATAAATCAATGTGTTTTAACTCTCTATAATATAGAGAAATCATTTTCCATCAATATCAATATGTATTAAGGAGAAGTATCTAAGCCCCATGACATTCCATCAATACCAATATGTATATTTTAAGTGGAAAAAGTCATGATGGACATTGTGGTCATCCATTCGGACAGTTCACAATATGCTTCTTTGATGGAAATGGTGTCAGAACAAGATCAGACATGCACGGGCGAATGGCTCAAGTACACTATAGAACAATGCGACACTAAAAAGTTCAAACATGAAGAGGGTAATGTGAATACCTTCACATCAAAACGTAATGAAGCAGCGTATCGTTTGACATCTTCTGATAAAATATAATGGGGATCCAATTTGAAATGTTTGTAGAAGTATGCAGTGGGGAAATTGCTAGCAGCTAAACCATCCCATAAGTATTTATACAACATCACTTGAAGCCTGTCATTGTAAAGACAAAATCAATAACTGTGACCATAAAGCAGTGAAAATAGAAGTCCACCAAAGTGATCATGACTTTTAATGCAAACACAGAAAACAAAAATGTAAATAAATAAAGAATCTCACTCTAACAACTGAAAAATACAAAACTTTGCTTAAAATAAGCATATAGTTGACAGCATAATGGTATACAGAACTCAATCAACATTATCATCAGTGTGTTATTCCATCAAATTGTGGTCTGCTTTTGTCAAGCTCACAGAAGCTACGGCAGAGCCCGAGTTAAATTGATGCACTAAAGAATCGCACGATATAATATGTAGAATAAGCTTTCAACTGAGCATTTATAATATCAATGGAAATAAAAGGAACAGCATACCTTGCATTTCTCTTTTGTGCTTCTGTTGGAGGTGTCGCCTTGTAACGAGTCTTTATGTCCACCAGAATTGGGTTTAGACTAGCTTCATTTAATGGCATTCGAACCTCATCAATCACCCCGACTATCCATGTACCTCCAAAAACTCCTATGCTGATAGATTATTAGCACATGCCATGAAAAAGGGATAGTATCATCAACTCGATTGATAAGGAAATTTTATGGTTAAAGATGTGTTGGACATTTTTAATTTTGGCATAACGGTTAACATGAAAAACAATGGTTCAAGATATTGTAACAGTCAAAAGAAAGCAAATAGGAACACATTTGTACAAATATCGACATGTAGTCTTAAATCCTTACATATAAGCAATGATGATGTGGACCAAAAAGAAAATATACACATGAGCGCGCATACACAAATATATTTCATCTAGGATGCACGTGGAAAAAGGAGTTGGGTGGGAATCGAGGCCTCATTCCCACCGAACATGGACAAATATCCATGATATAATAGTATGCATGAATATTTGGGTTCAAGCGTAACAATTGAGGACATATACAATCAACTGTGTTGAGAACAACATGCCTAATTCTACTTCACATCTCAACCAACAAAACTTCAATTATTGCCAATTGTTGATTGATCCTTCCTCTCATTCTTTCCAACATGTCAAAGAATTGGCCAATCTTTCTCTCTCATCAAATCAACCAAAATATTTTGTGGTTTGGATTTTCTTGCTTTTACTCATATCCTAATCCCCAAGTGCTTTTCAGTTTTCCTCATATTTCCTCGTATCTCTCATGCTTCCCACTTCTCCAAAAGAAGGGAAAAAAACACGAGAATAGCATCTTTGTTCATGTTTCATGTTTGACTTTTGAGAACAAATATAGAAATAAACTAATAATTTTCATCACGACAATGACTTCCTTCAAAAAAATAAAATTTTGAAAGTGTGGGAGGTAAATTCCTTGATTAATGTTTAACATGAGATGAAGCCAGAGCTACCTGCATGCCAGGTCTTGTTCATGCACACAAAAAGAACAGAGGATACATCAAGAAGTCACAAACTTATGAAAATAAAAACAGCTCGCCAACACATTACAAAAACAGATACTTTGTTACTTACACTGGAACCTCACGGGTAAGCCCTTCTAATAGCAACTGTTTTGCACCAACAATAAAATTGAAAAATTTTACTGCCCAAATCTCCTCAAGAGACTCGGTAGGAATTTCTACCCTTTCTACAACCTGATTCCAAAAGTGAAAGTATTAGCATGCTTGTAGTAATAACTAAAATTAATTAAGTACCAGGTGTCTAATTATTACAGGCAGAAAGGGGCAAAGATTAGATCTTTTTACATACAAATGGAAGGCAACTAACAACTACACAATACACAAAGGAAAAAAAAAATAACTGGATCGAAATGAAGATGCATAAAGAATCGGATCATCTGAAGGTTTGGACAAAAATAAGAAATCAACCCAGGTTGATAGATTCTTCATTTTCACCAATATAATTGTCTTTCTAAAATATTTTCTAAAAGAAGAAAAAAATGCTTTCTGATAATCTCCAAGTTACCTCTTTTTCTAGAGCTGCATGGCGATTGCTGCCTGCTTCCATAGCTGCAGTCTTTTTCGGCTTCCCCTTGACGAGCCCAAACTCTGTTTTCTTTTGACACCATTCCTGGCGTCAAAAAATCTTATCCAAGATAAAAATCGCAGCAGGCTAAGATTCTAGAGATAGCAAAGAGAACCAACAACTCCTCTTATACTAACAAAGATAAAAGCGTCGTTTTTGTATGTGCACTGCAGTGCAAAAATTTCAACAACAAGAGAGAATTTAGTTAAACCATTGAACTCTAGTCACAGTTTTCTTATATTTTCCACTTCTTGCAAGAAAACATCACATACCCAAAGAAAAAAAACAAAAAAAGAATCAATTATCTGACAAAATTTCCGTCCAAAAAAATGCAAAAAACTGAAAAAGTAAGGTAAATTGAGTCTAATGTTTACCGAGCTCGTGATGTCGGTGACCATGAGCCCTCTCCGAGCCCTAAATCTCTCTAAAAGCGACTTTGGCCGGACCGATTTGTCGGCATCCTCGATATCTTTCACCGGCGAACTAGAGCCCGAGCTGCAGCTGAGGGAAGTCACGTGCCTGGGAGGCGACGACAGAGCCAAAGGGAGAGAGCAGGGCAAGAGGGGGAATCGGGAGGGAGGGAGGATGGAGGAGGAGAGCAGAGGTCGAGCCGAGGCGAGGGCGGCGTCGAGAAACGCCATCTCGGCGTCGGTGATGATCTCGGTTTCGACCGGGATGCTGCGGGACTGGGCGGAGGGAGACGACGAATGAGAGGGCGGGGACTTGGGTTCCATTCACTGGCGATGGGTTCGGATCTGGGGCTGAGCGCGGGGGATCGTGGCCATGGCGGTTGTTTTCCCTTCTTTTTAGTTTTCGGGTTTTGAACGGGTCGATGAGCGGCGAGTCTTTAGCCTGTCGATTTGACCGGCTGATTATCTAAGGGCTTGTTTGGATTAAGGGCCTGTTTGGATTCGTAGTGGGTGAAGGGAAGTTAAGGGAAACCGAGTGGAGTGAACGGAAGGGAAGGGAAGGGAAAGGAAGGGAAGGGAAGGGAATTCCTTTCCCCTTGGTTACACCCCAATTTGGGGGGTAACAATTTTTATACTATTAGGGGGTGAACCAAGGTGAACGGAGGTGAATTAACTTCACCTCCTAAGTGTTCCCAAACAAGGTGAATGGAGGTGAATGGTTCCCTTAACTTCCCTTCACCCTCATTCCCCTCAATCCAAACAAGTCCAAGGCGAATAAGGGACAGAGGAAGTTAGAGAAATCATTCATCTTATTTGGGAATATTTAGGAGGTGAAGTTATTCATCCTAATTCTTCTTGGTTCACCCTTTAATAGTATAAAATTTGTTACCTTCCGAATTGGGGTGTAACCAAGGGGAAGGGAACTCCCTTCCCTTAACTTCCCTTCTCTCACCTAGTTTCCCTTAACTTCCCTTAACCTAGAGATGTTAAATGGGTGGGTATGAGTTTAAATGGGCGGACCATAAATGAGCGGGCCATAAATGGGCGGGCATGTTTTGCCCATTTACCCATTTATGGCCCATTTAACATTATTTAAATGGGCGAGTTTTTGCCCGCCCATTTAATAAACGGGTCGCCCATTTGCCCATTTAACTATAGTACATATATATGTATAATACTTTTGGGGTGTTTTTTGTAATCTTTTAGGGGTTTTTTTTGTAAACTATTGTGGGCTTTTTGCAAACTTTTTGGGAGCTTTTTGCAAACTTGTTGGGGCTTTTGATAAAATACTAACAAAGATAGGAACATAAACAAAGATAAACAAATACAGACAAATTCATGATTGAACCATTTACAAGCCTGGATAAAAGTACAGACCTCACACATTTGCAAAATTAACCTCAAATTTCCAAACCAAAAACCAAAAGATCAATAACAACAAAATTGCGAGTATATTTAAATGAATTAAGATAGAAAACACAAGGTATGCAAGGATCTGTATAAGATCAATAACTTGATATAAATGTCATCATAACTATCAGCAACACGATCATGATTAGTAAGGACAATCTACTTAATTACTTGACGAACTAGAAGAGTAGTAAGTTCGTCTATAAACAAAACAGTAGCACAACCATAGTCTACTTATTTCCCATCTTTCAAATGTTCAGGCATGAACAGGATCATGACAGAAGAAAGAAAAGACCAGGAAACAAAGATCAAAAGAGAGGGATTTTACGAGAAAGTAAATCTTAGCCCCCAAATACGAGAAAGTAAATCTTAGCCCGACAGAGCAGAAATTTCCCTGAGAAAACATTTGAACTGCTGCCTGAAAAGAGAGGGATTTTACGCAAGCAAATAGCAGAAAAGCACCAGCAACAACAACAGCTTCAGCAACTTCAGCAGCAGCAACAACAGCTTCAGCAGCAGCGCTTGCTTTCTCGTCAGAATTCGTCTGTGCCATTTATTGAACAAATTCAAGGTTCTCTGCAACATCAACAGTCCGTTAACCAGTATATGCCAGAGTTGGAGCAATTTTTGAAACTTCAGTTAGAGGAGCAACATCATCTTCAACAGCTGCAGCAGCAACAAGAATTGCATCAGCAACAACAGCAACTTCAGCTCCAAATGCAACTAAAAATCATGAAACTTTACTTGGTTAATTGTTCAATTTTCGAACATTTGCTGCAGCAACAGTTGAATGACCATGTTTATCAACTTAGTTAAGTGTTACGCGGCATGAGTCATAAGAACATTTCATATATAAACTATTAATGAGATTGCTAAGTCAAACTATCAAATTAAACAATTAACCAAGTAAAGTTCATGAACCATGGGACTGTATTAATATATAAAGAACTTAATATTTGTAATATCATGATTTAAGGGAAATCCTTCTTGGTATTTGTACGTGTAGTGTAAAAGTGAGGCAAAAGCTCAAAAATCCTTCTTGGTATTTGTACGTGTAGTGTAAAAGTGAGGCAAAAGCTCAAAAATTTTGCTTACTCATATACTAATTAATTGTAGGATTAGTTGAACATACAACTCAAAAATTTTGCTTACTCATATACTAATTAATTGTAGGATTAGTTGAACATACAGTTGATTTTTTTTCTAATTGATCAATTAATATTACTGAAATCTATAAATCTCAGTATTCACACTTTAAATCATGAAACAGAGACAACATGTCTCTCTCAGTTTCATTGTTAAAAACTTTCTAGGAATATGACCCATCAAACTATAAAAATTTCCCCAATCAAATACTAAATGATAAATTTCTAAATTGTTTTACCATACAAAACACAGGCAAAGGACAGCCCGAAAACAAAAAGGCAAATGGCAAGGCAACTATCAGTCTATCACAAAGGAGAGGACAGCAATTGAGAAGGACAATGATCCAGCTACAACAAGCTCACAAAGTGGTGCTCTTGGAGTCCAAGACTTGGACTTTAAACCAACCACACACGCATCAAAGACAACCACAAAAAACATAAACTTGTGCCATGTAATGCATCTACAGAATTTCTATATAATAAAGGTTGTGCCATATTATGCACGCTTAAATTGCAAATTGTCAAAATTCGAAAATGGCAACATCCAGGGGTCCTTTTACTTCAGAATTTCTAACTTTTGGCAGGAAACATAAACTTATGAGAAATAAATACATATTAAAACAACAATCAATATTTAGCCAACAACATTAGAAAAGCAAGATTATGATGTACACTAATTTCATGGAACAAGTAAAATCTTACCTTAATCACTTTCGCCTTCCGATTCAGAAACCTCTAGATTACTGAAATCAAGTACTAATAAATTTCCTTCTTCAATGTCTGCCAGGGCTGCATTTAATAAGAAAAAATAATATTAATATTTTGTGATAAAATATGTAGCCCACAACAATACAAAAAAAGCAATAAAGGAAAAAAAAAGAAGGCAACTCACAAGGAATCCCGTCTAACCAAGAACCAGTACAAATTTGAGCTTCAGCATTCTCCGGAAGAAGACGATTTTGATACTTGTCAAGCACACGTCCCGCAATGCTGAAAGCCGATTCAGAGGCCACCGAAGTAATGGGAATACTCAATATATCTCGAGCCATCATCGACAATTGAGGACGCTTCTCGCATTCGCCTTTCCAATACTCGAGAACATTCAAATGATCATTTTTCTTCCAACTGACTAATTTTTCATCTAGATACTCTTCTAACTGAGACTTGGACCTACTTGCTAAATATAATTGACTCTCAAACAGTTCAAACTCAACCATCTCATCATTAGGGGCATCTCCAAAGTTCTCTTCACCACTGCTCTCAGCTACAGATGTATCTAGAGATGCTCGCTCATATTCTTTGTAAAGCCTTCTCAGTTTCTCTAAGATAGTCAACACATAATCAGAACTAACTCCTAATTTCTCAAAGCAAAACTCTACGTACTTCACCTTGTATCGGGGGTCCAAAATGACTGCAAATGACAAAATAACACTGTAGCATTCCCAATATTTATCAAATTTTATTTTCATGTCATTTGCCATGGATTTTATATGTTGATCATCACTTTTCATCTCCTCCATTATGCATTTTTGAATCTTAAACACTCCACCAAAATATAAGTTGGCAGTTGGATATTTACTTCCAGAAAAAAGAGTGGACACTTCATAAAATGGTTTTAAAAACTTTGTAATTTTTTCAGCCTGTACCCATTATTCACTTTATGGCAAAAAAGTGAAGTTTGGATCAATCGACTCCAAGTGCTCAAATGCCCGACGAAAGTTCAGAACACTCTCCAACATTAGAAACGTAGAATTCCACCTGTTGGACACATCCTGTTGAATTTTTTTCGCTTTACCTGAACAAGTTTGTGCAATGCACTCTGCAAACTTCTTTTTTCTTCCAGGAGGACTCTTCACATACTTGATGCATTCTCTTATCTTAGACAATGATTTATCAATAACCTTTAGCCCATCTTGCACAACAATATTTAGAATATGAGCACAACACCGCACATGCAAAAAATCACCATTACTAACAAAATGATCTTCTAAAACTGGATGATATTTTAAAATTCTCATGAAAACATCATTATATGATGCATTGTCCAAGGTAACAGTAAAAATTCTTTTTTCAATACCCCAATCCTTCAACAAATGAAATAACTTCTCTACTAAAATTGCTCCACTATATGGGGGGTGAAACATGAGATAGAGCTAATATTTATTCTGCAATATCCAACAGTCATCAACATAATGTGCAGTGAGAGACATATAGTAGTCAGAGGTGGAAGAAGTCCATAAATCTGTGGTTAGACAAATTCTACTAGGAACTAGCTTTAAAGCTTGTTTAAGATTTCCTTTCTCTTTCTTGTACAACTTGATCAAATCTGTTTTAGCAGTGTTCCTTGAAATATGCTTGACTTCAGAATTTAGAAAACTATGCAACTCACGGTTTCCTCGATGTTCAACAAAAGTGAATGGATAACCATGCAATGCAATTACTCTAGCAAGCATTTCTCTATATTTTTCTTGATTTAGTGGCATACTTTTCCTGGAAGAATCAGCCTCATCTAAGTTCCTTTTCGGGCAAGAATCCATGTGCCTCAACATTGTCTTAGTGCCATGACCACCAACATAAATATGATTACACATATTACATTGAACTTTAGTTTTCTCATCATTATCGGTAGATAACTTCGTAAAGTGATCCCAAACTTTTGATGTTTGTCTTCTTTTACGTTTAGAAGTACTCTCATCACCACCACCAACATCATGGATGCTAAATTGATCATTTAAAGACATGATCGCTGAAAAAATAATTTAATAGCACATCAATTTTGGTAGTAAACACATAATTCCGTGATTATAAATTTGACTCAAACATATTCATGTTCACTTTTCTCATCGCCAGAAGCTTGTATATAAATTATTTCTACTATGGCCAAAGTACGTAACAGTGGGCAAAAACAGCCAGGTTT